TTCTGAACTACAATGGAGTTGGGTTCATATTTTTACTTTGCATATTACCACAGAATTTGCAGCCCTACCACCAAAGTGTACGAGTAAATTGTTATTTCAAAATTCCTGACATAAGCTACAGGGTCTTGAGTATTTGTATATGACAAAGTGCTACTTGCCTGCCTGAGTCAGTACTGAGAATTGTCTAGCAGGTGGAAAGATTTGGACACAAAAGATGTGATGCCTTCATCCCCAGAATGTATAAAAGAAATACAATTGATCAGTGAGCCCTGCAGAGGTTGGCTCACACTGCTACATTGTATAGTTAAAACATACGTTTAGATACACCTAAATTGTGAAAATTTGGAGAGCAATTGTTTTATACAAATTTCAAACATACTGTACTGTATAATGAACCTTAATCATTGATTCTGGGTCCAAAAACATCAGTAAGTAAGCACAGCCATGCATAAGACTAACAAATGACTTCACATTCAAAACATAATTGTTGAATAATGTGTACTCTATTGGTTTTAAAAGGTGGCAGTTTCCTGGTGTTCTTTTGTATTGCCATTGTTCGGGTAAATAATCAGAATGATATTGATGCTTTTGAACCATGTTACTGAGAACTAAATGAAATAATCAATAATAATTGACATGTATCAAAGATGTTTGTCACTTTGTTTAACCCAAGAATGGAAAGGTTGTCTCTTCTAAAGATTTAACTAGGCATGATGATTGTCTCCCTAAAGGTTCAACAGTGAAATGTAAAGGTTTTCTTACTACATATTCAACCAGGAAGAGAAAAGTTTTCTTCCTAAGAGTTTAACCAGAGACTTAAATAGTTGCCTTCTTGTGGGTCAAATTCAACTAAAAAGTTAAAATATTGCCTTCCTAAGATTTCAGCCAGAGTAAGCAGGTAGCTAGTACTGTCATCTACTTACAGGTTTGACCAAGTCAAAAATGTTGCTTGTCTTCTAGTTGGATTAAGAAATGAAAAGGTTGTCTCCTAATGAGTTCACCCAGAGGAAAGGATACTTGTCTACAGATTCAGTGAGAAGGATCTACTGGGTACATGCCTGAACCCGAGGGAGATGCTAGAAAGTGTTCCCTATACATGACTTGCCACACTGAGCTATACTAAAATAGCTAAGGATATGATCTCTGCTTTGTTTGCAGGTATACTATGTAAAAATTTTCTACATCATCTTATATACTGCTCTTTAAAATGAAAAAATAATTAAATAAATAAAAAAATAATAATAAATAAATATATCCTGCATATATTGTACTTTCTATATATTTGTTAATCCATCTATAATCAATGAACAACAAGCTATATTCAAAGGAGGGCATCTATCTATCTACCTATCTATCAATCTATCTATATATAGCAAGAAGTAAGAGAATATACAGACTCCCTGTTTGTCCTCCTATGGAAGTTTTCTTATTCACTATACAAAATATAAGAAGAATTGTGAAAAGCAATTTACTTATGTTAATCTTACATGTATGTAGAAGCATTTGCCAGATATGTTATGAAAAAATTTAATCTAAGGCAAGCATGTGTATGATACTAATTCCAAGTCCTAAATGTATCCACATAACTCTTTGTGCAATTATTATCCATAATGAAGTTGCCAACATCTCTTTATCTACAGCGACCAAACTAACTGAGGCTATTAAGTTATAATATACATTTCAAATTTCAGCCACACTGATTACAAGTCTGTGGCAACTGGATGGTCAAGTGGTGACCAAAGAAAAGAACAGTGATATAGAAAATGACAAGTATAAAACGGTGGATAAACTTAAAAATTAAGTAAGCCATTAAATGTTGAACTTCAACATATATCTGTCATATAATATCAGGACTCTATGCAGTTATTAATAGAATCACAATTAAGTAAACCTTATTGTACTAATAGGCAAATGGGAACTGTTTACAAAGACCATAATGATAAATTGCCTACTACTGTACTGGTCATTACAAGCATATATGTTCCTGTCATTATGAGTGAGATTATCACAACTAAATATTACAGAGATAAGTTTAGTATTGCTGCCGTTCCATGTCATACATACACCTTGGATATTGATGCTTCATATACAATACAGTGTAAGTAATTACCTGAAGAAAATAAAGCTAATGTTAATCATCATATGAAAGGATATTTCTTGGTTCACAGCAAATTCTTCACTGTCTGTTGAGACCCTCATAACTCCATCCATGGACAGAGGTAAAATTTTTGACTCGGTGTGACTATAAGTATTTCAAGTTAACCAATGAAGGTCTCAAGTCTGTTAACATCAATCTTCCTGCCTGCATAATTGCAAACACTGGTTTTTGTTGTGGTACAAAAAGTTGAATGAAATACAGTAACTAAAAATTTGATGTGGACAGTACAACTGATGAATTAATCTAACCTTCACAAAATTATGCATATTGACCTATTCATCTACAGATAAATTGCTGGTTTACAAGAAACTAAAATATAAGAACTCATCTTCACTTCAAGACATTCATTTAATGCTACTGGTGTTCACCCCTCAAGCATGGTCAGTACAGTATACCTAAGGCTATTACCATCACTTTGACCAGCACCAGTAGTGGACTCAAGAGTTGTGTTTCTCAAGCACTTCCTCACATTTATATTGATGGTTTGGAGTGACAAATGTCATATGTGAAAATATATATACCGGGTACTGTATACCCAAATCACATTATAATGGATAAATATTCCAAATAAAACTACAGTATACTGTACTGGCAAAAGTACTTGCGCAAATCCATCAATATTTTTTGTAAACCTGGTTTAAAAATTCATGTCTTATATTGCTCGTGCTGTACCATAATGTGGTCACAGCTTTGACTACTTACAAACCAGGTAACCCTCGTTTAACATTCAATCACAGAGATAATTCAGTTTAGCGATGTTAGACTTACTGGGAAAAATTTGGGAGGGAAGTCAGAAAAACTGGGGACTCTGTGCTCCAAGTGTGCATTATTACAATACCCTTGTACTCTAATGTGGCTTAGAAATAAAGAAAATATAATATAAAATTATAAAATAAGAAAAATGAAGAACATGGGTGTGTACGCGTGGGAAGTGAAAGTATGTATACTGTACATGTATTGAGGCAGTGAACTGTAACTGTGGCCAGCTGCACTCTTCCCCATGTGACGTCACGGCATATAGGCAAGTCACACACCTCTCTTCGGTGAGCTTGGTGACTGTCCAGCTGAACTGTGTAGTGTGTATATTGTACCAATAAATGTGAGGAATAAATACAAATAATAATATTAAACCAAAAGTAAAAATATTGTGTTGCCATTTGGCAATTGTTTCACAACACATGGGACACAAGACAGCGAACAGCTGAGAGATCCCCCACACCACTCCCCCTTCCTTCGCTCTGTGTGCTAACTCCCGAGCATGTAAGAAATGATTTTCCCTTTACGTTTTTGACTAAAAGATATTTTTTTTTTCACATTTTGTATGAATGATCGTGTGTGCATGTAACTGAGTAAAAAAAAAATGAAGGAAATTACATATGTCTACCTGAAATTAGAGTTGAGCAATAACATAGCTCACAGCTCAGCCTTACCCACTCTCGGTGCTACTCAGCGAGTCCACTGCCTTCATGAGCTCATGCACCCAATCACTTGCCACACATACACACATGCCCTAAATTTTTCTTATGTGATACGTAGTTTCATATTACAGTAAGTTTTCTTTATTTCTAAGCCACATTCTTGTATTGAAATGATTTCTCTGCAACCTTTATAGTTTCATTACATGTAACAATGGCAACATGCCATCTCCACAGATATTATTCCTCATTATCCCTTGTTTAGCAAATTTTGCTTAACGTTAGGTTTTCACGAACGCATCCCCATCGTTAAACGAGGGATACCTGTACATGACTCTTGACGTTTATCACAGATGTTTCAATAACAGAAAACTATAATTGGTATGGCCAGACTGATAACCACACTTGTCCAATCATATAAATATACATTTAAATTCACACATGCACAACTGCACATGGAATGCAAAATACACAAAAAAGTCTTTAAAACAATATGAATATAAAATACTGTAGTCACAGTTACAGTATTCTAATCCAAGACTTCCTTATCATACAAACTTGTTGCTCTGCTAAAAATATTATTCCTTCATTAAAACTAAAATCTTTTGGTAATAATTGATTTCACATAATTGTAGAAACCATTGTATTCACACAGAAAGGTTTATCTTAGGTTCTGGCGATGTGTGTCTACACAACTATAAACCTAAGATAAATGTCAAAAATTCTGTTTTGAATATTTCCCATGTCAGTGGGTATAAAAATCTGGATTAAAAAAAAATTGAAATAATAGTTGCCTTGTGTTTCAGTGAATATTAACATTAATCAAGATATGGTAAGGTGTACTGGTATATAACTACAATCTCCTATTAAATATTAAGTACTGGGTAGCACATATTTTTCTGTATACAGTATGGTCTCGATTTATGCGGATTTCCTTTACGCGGTTGGTCATTTACGCGGCACCTGGCCAGACCGGCAATTATTAGTTACGCGGTACATTCCATCATTTACGCGGGAAGCGGCGCAGGCAGGGTGCGCACTAGGTCGCCCAGTCAACAAAACATTACCGAGTTCTTCAACCGCCACCCACCACAGCCAGCCCAAGTCAGTGATGGTGAGGATTCGGACTTTGAGGGGCTTGACAAAGAGGCCCTGCAAGCTTCTGTGGTGGATAGTGATACAGGTGGTACAGGTGAGGGCCAATAATCTGCCCTCTGCCTCAGAACCAGCCCCCCATCCCCGTGAGCCCAGCTATCTCTTCTACTAACGTAAGTGTTAAAAAACCTAATATTATTGATATTTCTCTTAAATATTAATTGTGTGTGCATACCATCATAAAATTAAAATGTTATTTTTACTACAACGTACGTATTGTGTCGGAAAAAGGGGTAGTCTGGGGGGTCGGCCCAGTCTCTATTTCAATTAATCCCATATGTTCTGTTATTTCGTTTACGCGTTTCCCGTTTTACGCGGACCTCCACGGGTTTAAGTGACCGCATAAACCGAGACTATACTGTAATAATATGAAAAAAAATTATGGTTGTTATAACTGAACATTTAATTAAGAACTGCTTATACCAATGCAATAGCATAAAATAACCTTTTTTTTGTACCTTATTTCAGTGCCAGAATATTGCTGAACTAAATTTGTGAGAGCAAGAATATGAATTTACTATTAGAACAACTCACTCTCTTCTCCTTACTCCCTGTGCCATTAGCTTCAATATCAAGGAAAAATGAATCATTGGTAGAGGACCACAGATCTTCTAAAATCAATGAGTACTCAATTCAGCACTCACTCACCATAACAATTTCCCTGCTTTCTATGAATCTGCATATAACATCAAATGGATCCAGGTTGGTGGATGTTAAGGGCATTGTTACCATGAAAATGGTTTATGATACTGTACTCTCAAAAGAGACAAGTCTATTCAGTGGAAAGAATTAGTTGAGTAGTATCATGACTTGTCAAAGTCCCAGATCTTAAGGCAAACTGATTTCTAATGCCTCATTATTGAGCAATGGTGGTGGTGGGAGAATAAACAATCTTCAGACTACCAGAAGTTAACATGACCTCAGTGTTTACTGTGAAAACCATAAAAGCCTGGGTGTGCACATTCAAGGGCTGCAAGGAAATGGCACCTTATTATAAAATATACACTTTGACAAAACAACTGCAATACCCAATACATATTATCCTCTTCAGCTGTGTTGTACCAGCAGCAGAAGAGTAAGCTAGTGGGTGCCAAAACAGTGTTGTTTAATCCAAGTTTTTGTTTTGTAATGTGGTTTGCTTTTCAAAGTTTCTATTTCTGTGAAATCTTTCAAATGTGAACTTAAAGGCAACTTTCACTAATGTCTCATCTTGACAACATGTTTGCATAATGTCAGTGAATGAAAATAAAACTATAAATATTGTTTGCACAATAATTAAAAATGATTCCCACACACAGTATTCTATAAAAAAAAAATCTATTACAAAAGTAAGTTTCTAATTACTAGCACTAAGGGACCATAGTCCTCAGAGTTATGAATTAAAAGTTTCTCTAAGGCATTCAATAGTTCATGATGAGAAGTATTCAGCAAATCAATGCTACATCATTTTCAAAATTTACGTATGGAATATGGCCCAAAAGATGTAACTTAGCTCTGATTTTAAGACATTCAGTAATTTAGTGTTGTGACTACAGGCAGCACATCACACTGCCATCATCATGTATAACAACTAAAACAGCTCACCAATGGGGGCATTCTGAAGCCACAGGTCATGAAGGAAATTGTACAAGTCGTCCGTAACTCCAACCTAGAAAAGAAAACATTACACACATATTGTTTAACTTTAAGATTAAAATTTTTAATGAGAGGTAATTAATAATCTGAACATATGACTGTTTTTTCAGGACTTCAATTCCTAATTAAACAACAAGTGGAATGATAAATTATATAAAATGAAGCTGCTGAAAAAGCAGTTACATAAATACTGTATTACAAAATATAAAAACAAAAACAAAGCTAATCATCAACATCAATTAGAATACAGTAAGTCCTTGTTTAACTTTACCCCCAACAACGTTGTTTCGTTATAATGTCGCTACTCTTTAGATGCCCATGATTCGGACAATGTCCCGCCGATTCGGTATAACGTTGTCACGGACTACTTTGTACAGCTCATCACCCTCTCTCATCTTGGCGCGCTACGTTCTCTCGTAGAGCATCACAGCGTCCCTAGTCTTTGTTGGGCTTCCACAGTATACGTGCATGCTTAAGTGTATTTGCTCTAAATACTGTAATGTATCCATTTGAAATGGCTTCCAAGCACCCATCAAGTGCTAGTGATGCTGGTGTTGTGAAGAAGCAACGTAAGTCCATTAGCCTGGCTACGAATATGGAGGTTTTAAATCGCCCATCAGTGAGTACAATACAAAATGATTTAGTTATTTATCTTTTTGCATGTATAAAATATATACTATTTTCTATTTAAATTCCATTCCATTTATGTAATGTATTCTATGGGGCAAAGGGAGACTGGGGCACGTAACTCCTGTATTTTATCTATTTCTTATGGGGAAAATCGATTCCATTAATTTTGTTTCCATTAACGTCGCAGTTTTCAGGAGCGGAACCACGACGTTAAGCGAGGACTTACTGTACTGTACTTCTAAGTGCATGTGCATGTGTGTGTGTGTGTGTGTGTGTGTGTTTGTTTGTGTGTGCATGAGTTGCAATAAATCTCATGAGTGAATGAACTGAAAATTCAGTTGTGAACATTTCATCCCTAAGCATTTTAGCCTTACGTATTTGGTTAAGTTAGAAATGGTCTTGGCAACATGATATAAGCATCAAACTAAATTATGTGATGCTTCTTCTCACATGGTTTTGTGATATCTGGGGTTTTCAATTTTTTACACTTACGGCTATAAAGTTTCATAAAATGTTCGCAGCTTCACAAGAACCATATTTACCTGACCATGATTTCCTTTTTACCACAAAGTTTTATGTTTATAGTGTACTGAGATAAGTTTCACAAGTACACAGCTGCACATCACACTTTTCATCTTCCCTGTGCCTAAGGCCTCACAGGAAAACATCTTGCACCCCCACAAGCTGCTAGAATGCCACCAGAACACAAACCATTATTCATATACCATTCCCAGAATTCCCATGGCTTTAAGGGTCTTAGCCACCATACCCTACCTGTTCATTGGAAAGCCAATAAAACGCTATCAGTATTTCAGGAATGCAACTTTTCCATAATCTCCCAACAGTTGCCAGGTGAACATATCTAATTAAAGTAGAGCCTCAGTGAAATTTTTATGCTATTTTGGTTTGTTAGTTTTGTGTTTTATTTTAAATCAAATTGTTAGGTTTATGTTTTTATCTTTAGTTACAAGAAATATCAATTGTGAAATTGGATGAAACAGTACAGAAATGACAAAATTGCCCAAACTGAAGGACCCAATTCTAGCCATATAGCTTTAAAACCCTGAATGATTCTTATATGTTCAACAACTGACATAATGGACAATGCAAGAAACTTCTAAAAGTACATATACAGATAACATGAAAATCTGCTGTCCTACAATTCCAAAACAAAGTAACCCCCTCTCAGGATCTTAACTAGTCCCTCAATGGCCTAGGGGCAAACACCTCATCTTGTATATTAAATATTCCAGCTTATTTCACGTGATGATTAAACACCCTATTGCCAACCTGACCTAACCTAACTTAATACTCCCAGGTAGCATTAGGGTGTCTAATCATCACGTGAAATAAGCCTCCTGTGATTCAAATTATCTAGTAAAAGATAAGCTGGTCTACACAGCTGGATATACTTTTCACAGTGCTCGGTGGTTCTGACCCATAATCAATGGGTCACAAGCAAAGAAACACCCTTGAAATGCAAGATAAATGACTGCATAAATGCAGTATGCACCCAACATAATCCAAAATCACAAAATAATAATCTGCTATCTTTCGTATCAGAAAAAAAATGCAGTGTACACTTTGTATTGTGGGGTGATTGGATCTGGAAAGTTATTGCTGCGTTTTAGCATCTTATAGCTATTGTTAAAAAATCAAATGAATGAATCAAAGTGCACATGTAATGCTCAGCAGTATATCTGTTAAGCCTTCTGCTTTTTAGGGTCCTTTCTTACCAAGTGGTTATCCTGTAGAAGCCCAGAATAAAAGTGAATAACATTCCAGTCTTGGAAATATTTAAATTCTAAAACTCGGTTCAATGTCATGAGTCTTGGCCCTGGCCCTTAGGCTTCAACCTGTAGATTTGTTGACTACATATATGGATTTGCCGTACTCTAATACAGGTATGTAAACAAACTGTACACCTATGTACTATTTGTCACTTACACCCAACTCAGAGAGTGAGGGATACAGCAATCAAGCTGTCTGTGTAAGTTTGTGCCTGTGCACTTGTATTTCTGAAGACAATTTGAACATCAATCTTCTACTTTATGTAACTAGTAAAAGTAAATACAGTACAGTATATGAAGTTTGTTCTTTAAGTTCATCCATGTGTGAGCCAAGGTCAATCAAAATTTGGAATTGATTAAAAATCCTATTACCATAAGTAGTTATGTCCCTCAAAGTCTGAATGAGATAGGTCAGATGAATTTGATGTCATCTAAATGTCATCTAAACTACACATTTAACCATACACAAACACCATCCTATCTATGCCCTCTCTTGTTTCACAATTAAGTAACTTATTCATAACTCACATTCAAACCGTAATTTTATATACAGTCAACCCTCGCTTTACGTGGTCCCACATTCCGCGTTTCCACGTTTACGCGGTACCCTGCCGAAACCGGAATGCTCACATTCCGTGGTGCGTGTACCCCTTTACGCGGAGAGCGGCTGGCGAGCCGCGCCATTTTTGGATCCAAACCTCCCGCCATCCGCCATGTTGTGTAAGCGGCGTGAGCAGGGTGCGCACAAGGTCGCCCAGTCATCAAAACATTACCGAGTTCTTCACCCGCCACCCACCACAGCCAGCCCAAGTCAATGATAGTGATAATGATAGTGATAGTGAGGATATGGACTTATATGGACTTTGAGGGGTTTGACAAGGAGGCCCTGCAAGCCTCTGTGGTGGATAGTGATACAAGTGATACAGGTGAGGGCCAATAATCTGCCCTCTGCCTCGGAACCAGCCATCTTTTCTGCTAATGTAAGTGTTAAAAAACCTAATATTATTGATATTTCTCTTAATTATTAATTGTGTGTGCATACCATCATAAAATTAAGAAGTTATTTTTACTACAACGTAGGTATTGTGTCTGAAAAAGTGGAGTTTGGGGGTCGGCCCGGTCTCTATTTCAATTATTCCCATATGTTATGTTGTTTCACTTTACGCGTTTGTCACTTTACGCGGGCCGCCGTGGGTTGAATTAACAGCGTAAAGTGAGGGTTCACTGTACCTGTAGTTTTGAGGACTCCTCCCCTGAAATTGCAAACCTAAAATAACTGCTGTAGCTTAAACCTCTCTTCCTCTGAGAAGCAAATAAATAATTAATTCAGATATAAAGACACTAGAAATTAGTACAGGTACTCTTACAACTATAAACAGTCGGCTTAAAGATTTAAAAGATAACAGATTTCCTACCTAAGTAAAAGTTAAAACTAATTTGCTAAATAAATAACACCTACTACTAAATATCCCATTAAATGTGATGGTGGGCTCTCAGGCAAGTAGTAGTGTGTTAGCTAGTTGATGCTAGTACAGGTGTAACATCTTGTCAACTTTGCCTAACTGCTGGACTGAGCCAAGATTCCCAAGTTGGGATACTCCAGGACTACATCTTAAATATATTTTTGGTACTTACAAACACATGAGTGCATTCACTGACTGGCTACATTAAGTATATTTAATAATATTCAGATACTGAAGACAACATTATCAATCATAATACTGTACCCAGTTCAAGTTGTTTCAACATTCCTCATTCCTCAGTTCTAAACTGATTTTATAACATTTTACAAGAATCATTAACGTTTCAAATTAATTATACAGTACAGTGTACTATTTTTCTTAGCACAGTGTACAATATTTAGTGTTCCATTTTCAATAATCAAAATATGGTATAACACAATGAAAGCTCCCAGAGTAATTTGGTCATCATGATTTTCAGTTGTCCAGGGCATTTAACGAGTCTGTTCATGTATGATCGTCTTCGCTGGTCACTGTATACCTCCTTCATAAAAGATGTCTTCAGTACTAAACATAATTTTTTTTAAATTTAATCTCATGAGCTTACTGCTTTAAATGGTGAATCTTGAGGACTTCTTTCTACCTACTGCAGTCAGCATATTTTTATGATCTCAGAAACACCATCCCCGATTACCAAGTTAAAAAAAAAGTCCAACACCGTGGCCTAATTTTCTCTACACATTCTCCAAATAGCAGTGTTTGAAATAATTCCAAGGTAAGTCTATATGGTTGTATGGATATCATTTATGAGAAGCCCAGTGAACCTTTTGCATTGCAAATTGTAAACATTAAGTGAAACACAAGGGTGAAAATTTATGAGAGAAAGGAGAAAGGACAAGATACTGTATTAACAGAAAATAGAAAACAAACAGAAATATCAGAATTTGAACATAAAAGAGAGACATAAGCAGGAAAAACAGAGATTAGGAGAAGGGGAATCAGTGAAGGATGGAAAAATACACAAGAAAAGCCCGAGGTGTGCAGAAACAAGGAGATTTATTAATGTATAAGAAATTAGTATTTATTATGGGACAGGTGAATTTAAGAACATGTGTGTGTTATGGATTACAATGTTAAGATCCAGTGGATTCATAGAAAAAGGGGGGGGGGGAGGTAGGAGAATGAAAAATCATTTTAACATTCTCTCATAGTGATACACTTTCATACACAATACTGTATGTCCATGTAAAATAAGCACAGAATGATAAATATGGAAAATTTTCTTACAACAAGCACTGGAGGTAAAGATTCATTGTACAGTGCTGCTATGATCTTACAGCCCACCATCACACTACATGACAAATGCCACACCATAACTAACCTAAAACTTGTCATGACAACTGTCCCACTCTCATGACACTGTCCATGCATTTCTGAAGCATCACAAATACATTAACACTTTTTTATGATTGTTAGCAACACAATTGGCTGCCAAAACTTTGAAGAAAATAATGTCCATTAAAGCAAGACTATTAAGACAAAGAGATTAGCTAAAGCAAAGCTAAAGTAGAGTATTGTGGCAAATATTATAAGGTGCATAATTAACTATGGAGAGACATGCTCCAGACTCCACTAATTCTAAGCTTGATACGTCTCTTACCAAAACTGTCTTTACATATTTGTGCGATGGTCTATACAGTAGTCCATTCTGTGAGCAGGAAATCAAGTGTTTTAACAAAATCTCTTCATGGTTAAAGATGTCAAATATTAATTTGAATGGAAATCTATACAGTACTGTACTTGTCAGAAATGCAAGGATGCCATGCAAATAACCATTCTAACAACAGAACTGTCAAATTCATTAAAGAACACCTGAAATATGGTTTAACTTCATTTTACTGCTATTATTATAAACAGTGATATGGAATAAGTAATGATGCACCAAGAAGTGGGTGATAGATACAATGACAAATCCAAAGAAAATTCAAGAAAAAAAGTATATATATATATATATATATATATATATATATATATATATATATATATATATATATATATATATATATATATATATATATATATATATATATATATATATATATATATATATATATATATATATATATATATATATATATATATATATATATATATATATATATATATATATATATACATATATATATATATATATATATATAAGTAAATCACTGTAGGTATCTAGGCATATGCTCACCCCTGAAGATGTGAATTACACCTAAAGCCGAACTTGTGTTTTCTTTCTTTCCTTGTGGTTATCAGCATATATATATATATATATATATATATATATATATATATATATATATATATATATATATATATATATATATATATATATATATATATATATATATATATATAAAAACACACACACACACACAATTTGTGAAACTTATCAGACTAAATATACTCTTAACTATAACCTAAGGGTATTCTCCCAATGGCTTCTAGAGACAATAAGCAATTAACATTTTTCTTTTATGAGTTAGAAGTACAGTCCAGTACAGCTACTGTACTGTATAATAAAAAAAATCACTTAAAAGAAAAAATACAACAAACAGTCAATCACATATTACACAGCAATACTGACACTATCACAGTATCTGGATCCATTACTGGTATGTTACTTCTCATACTAGTGCCACCAACATACTAATATTTTTTTTATTGTTTACCCAATACTTCTGTACTAACACTGGTCAATAAAGGTCTTAACACAGTAACAAAGAAAAGTCCAACCAATTGGTTAGGTAGTAAGCTGAAAATTGGTGAAATGATAAATAAAAATAAAATAAGACAGACATCATTCAGTATGTTTCATTTAACAAGGCTATATTACTAATTTCTTGCGAGGTTCAGTGCATCTATTTATCCCCTTTAATTGTGAAGGGTTAGATTATGTTAATGTTAGGTAAGGTATTAAGTGAGATTTGTTAAGGCAAAATAAGGTTAGTTTGGTTACATTAAATTAGAGGAAATAAGATTATGTTACATTAAGTGAGTTGAGGCTAGATTAAGTTAGGTCAGGTAAAATGTGATATGGTTGGATCAAATTAGGTTACATTTGCTGAGGTCAGTTGAAGTTAGGATTGGGCTTCAATAGTAATGGTTAGGTTAGGGAAGTTTAGATGGGGATCATCTGACTACTCACCATTAAGACATGCTTATCTATCTACTTATCAGTTTATCTACGTTACTCCACTTCCCTATTAATGATGTGGAATATGAATGTAAAATAGCAAAAGAAAAAAAGGGAGGGTAATATTTTAGGATCAGTTAATGGACAATGATAAATGAAAAGAATGAAGGTATTATACACATGACAGCTTTAAATAACTTACAAACAGTAGAGTGGTAAGAAAGGTTCAAGCTTATCCAGAGATGTGTAGAAAATTAAGATATCACAGAAGGGTCATAAAAGTCACATACTTTACCAAATACCTTCATTCATAAGTGCATTACAGTTATTACATAAAAGCTAAAGCAAAAATAATACAGCAATGTAGATGCCAAAATTATGTTTCAAAAGATGATCAATTTCAGGGAAAGTAGCTTTATAAGACCTTAAAACATATAAAAACAACACAAAATAAAACATAAGCGTAGCCATTAAGGGAAGAACAGCTACACATACACACCACATTACTACTACATACTATGTCACCTCTCCCATACCTTATAGGGAGTAGGATTCAGATTGCGCTTATGGTCTTGTCTCAATGTCTGTAGCGACTCCGTCACTCTGTCCCTTATCTCCTCCAGGTTTGGTAAGTCCTGCTGAATCTTGCCATCTTTCCAATATAGCTGTAATCAAAGAAAGGTCATATCAACTAAGATACAGCACTTCGTTATATCTCATCATGAATTATATGCACATACCAGTCTAAAAAATCATTGAGAAGCAAGTTACAGAACTTACAGTATATAATGGCTTTATAATTTGTGCATTAGAGACAGGTCAAGACAGTTGGATAAGAATGAGGCTAATCACGATGTTTTGTACAACCCAAGCCATGAATACATTTACCAATCACTTTAATACCAATTACCATCACACATATGGATCAAGGTTTATAAGAGCAAAAGCTTGATGCTTTTATCCAGAATAAGCATAACTACTGGTAATATATACAGTTTGTACAATATATAAATGAAGGTTTTTGTTGTCATGGTGTCTAGCTATCATTAAGAACTGAAAGAAGGAAACATACAGTATACAAGATAAATATAGATTTTTTTTTTTTTATAACTAAATGTGCATTGTTATTTCAGGTAAAATTTGAGTCTTTTCCTCTGACATCTCCCATGAGAAGTTGTTGATCATACAGTAGAGAATATTTCTTTAATTCTAGAATGTAAGTCACAGTGACCATAGAACTACAATATTGTACACTGAAACTTAATCTTCTTTACATCTCTTGCTGGTAAATACGGCTTGGACAAAATGTCTTACAAGAAAGAATGAAAAAAAAAAATAACAGAAAAAAAGTAACCTGGAAGATACCTTTATTACTGCTAGTCTAACTACGAGATTCTGTTCAGGTTTATTCAGATCAGTCCTTGTAACATCAAAATATGGAATACAGTTAACCCTTGCTATTCACGGGGGCTTGGTTCCAAGGAATGGCACGAATTGGCAACTTATGCACTACTGTATACCTATACAGTAGTATACATGAAAAACTTAAGTCACCAATACTACTTTCCTTCACATGTGGAAGTGTACTGCACAGTAGAATGAAATCTGGTTACTGAAGCATAAGGAGAACATCAGGATCACTGTTGGAAGAGGGTGATGCAGTGGTGGTTGGTGGAGAAGCAGATGGTGGGGAGGCAGGTGGTGGGGGGCACGTGGCGGGGAGGTGGATGGTGGAGTGGTGGCATGTGGGGGGGGAGGTGGATGGTGGAGTGGTGACAACAGCTGTCCGAGTAGGTGAGGGAGACGAATCAGCTGGGTGAGCGGCTGGTTCTTTCTTGAATATTATGGTGATTGGTAGTTGTTTTCTCTTGGCTTTAAGGTCTCTACAAGTTTCACTCCACTAGTATCACCGGCACTGACACGAGGCAGTCTTTTAGTGGCCATTTCACACAGAAACACTAAAGTTTTGAGCACAACACAAGAGATGCTGTGTCGCAGGCAATGGTTGAGTGCAAACAAAGGGAGATGATGGAGAAAATATGCTGCGGGAGCATGGGGGTGACTCATTGTGCTGCAGGAGAGGAACGTAAACTAGCCACCATCTGCTTTCCGCAAATAGTCGAAATCAAGAATCGCAAACCCGTGAATAGCAAGGGTTTATTGTGCAGTACTTTTAATTTTTAATACAAGATCAACATCCAATCAAAGAAACCTACTTCCTATAATCCACTTCAATTAGATGAACTTTGTTAGCCACATACTGTATACACAATAGGTAACTGCAGGAGATGTTATTGATCTCTGGAAAGACTTATCACTTTCTTTTACAAAATATTCCCCAAAATTCCAGCATTGTGAATTATTTATAATATTTCAGCTCTCACTGCACTGTCTTTGACAAAACTATCATGCTCATGTGTCTGAAGTCCCTGTAATCTATAAATAATTTTTTCCTTCAAATACAAAGAAAATCTTTCATATATTTTTTAATCTCTTTAAATTCCATATACAGTATCCTGATTCAAAGTTACACACTTACCTTAAACAATGATTCCACTTTAGCTGGACTAACATAGGCTCTTTTACTCTCCTGGAAGGGATGTCGACAAAGAACTCTGCTGCCACATTTTGGGGCTGATTCACTGGTGCGGTGCATCAGGTCTATGAGTGCATGACCTGCAAATCACACAAGTTCAATATTCGAGGGAGTGCTTATATCCACTTAGCAGAAAATTTTAAGATGTACTTAACAATTGTGGATGTGAAGTTCATCAAGAAATAATATTTTCTCATAAAATAAATACTGCATATATATATATATATATATATATATATATATATATATATATATATATATATATATATATATATATAATGTATTTAAATAAAAACTGTGTTGAAGTTTTTCTCATGTAATCTGGCATGTTAACTGACTGGTTTTGGAGAAACAGAAGGAAATAGACAAGTCTTACCATCTGCACCATAGAGACGGTATGCGGACTTCTTCCCCGGACACGTCACCTTCTCAACATCCTGTGAGAGCTTAATTTTGGCCTCCCCATTGATCTCCACTAATTTGAAAACACATCCTAAAGCAGGTTGTCTCTGACAGGTCACTGAAACAATAACTGTGATGTGAAAACTGAAAGAAGGTCCCACAACCATAGCTACCCAATTGGGATAGTGTTGATACAGTACAATGAATACTATGTACTCAGCCTTCAGTATGTAATGAGGCAGTGTGGCTGGCATAACATTTGATTGCTTTCACTTGTGTGTGTGTGTGTGTGTGTGTGTGTGTGTGTGTGTGTTAGCTGGTATCCAAGCCCCCTCAATGTAGGCCTCACTGCAAGGATTTACTTTGCAGGAAAGCTAAAGAAGACATAACACTATACCCCTGAAGCCAAGCACCTGAGGAATGCAGCCCAGAAGTGAGTAAAATGATTTTGAGAGCTATGTTTGAGATATAAGCTGTAGTTACTCCAGACTTTTACCTTTGGTTCTACAGTAATGCATGCAAAATATAACTACAGTATCTATAACCCAAAAGTCAGAATTAACTGCCATTACTGAAGAAAGGTAAAATTGAGAACCATTCCCAGTTTTCTATGCATGGATATGAATGTTGTTGGGCTGAATCCAATATAAAATTTGACCACTTGAGAGAGAGGTATAATGAGATGAAACTATTACCTCTCCTCTGAACATGAAGCTCTGAAATCATTCTCCCTGAGGTAAGGGCAGGACAACACCCTGTGGTGAGTGAGGTGAAGACAGGACAACAGGTACGTGGAGAAAATACAGAATTACTGTACCTCTCTCTACTGAAATAATTGGCGAGTAGCTAGTTCGGTATAGAGAGGTTTTCGGTATAAAACGAAAGCTTAAATTTCAAACAATAAGCATAAAGATATTACAACACATACCCAGGTGAGTGCCAATACCAAAGCAGTCAATCTTGTGTCCTTGTTCATTTAAACTGATAATGGTTTCTTCATTTATGTCATTACTTGCCACTATTGATAAGTGTTCAAACCATTCAACATCAAACCTGAAAAGAGAGATATGACAGAGTTAGCTCACTGAACAACAAAGTCTAGTCTTTATCAGCAGCTGGACTTCACACTTACGTCACTTGTCAAATGGTACAAGTGTCACCAGTTCCTCCTAATCATGTTCCTCAGACACCTGTATTTAATGGGGGTAAAAATCCAAAAACCTCTCCACTGTCTTCCAGTATGACTAGGTGACACACACTCATTAGCTTGGTATGAGACCACAAACTGAAAGAAACACTTTACGCTTACCATATAGTGTCCCAGCATATATAACTAGAATTAAATTTAAGCGTATATCATAAGGTATGTGGAATGAAGTATTAATATGTATTTTAATTTTTTTTGGTAACAGTCAAAATAAAAATATACTATAGGCCTAATAGCCTGTTCGGGGCAATTTTGATAGAGGACATTGTAGACTAAGGGTTTTCTTCAGTACACAAGGATGCAATGTAGCTAGCACTGCACTCAATCACCTTCACTTTCCCAACTGTATAGTTTGATACCCATTATATCCATTTGTAACATGGTGAACTGGGGGTACCATAGGCATGAACAAGTCACCATATGGACAGGGTGACATGCACTGTATCCCCTCAGCTTTGCACCCCTTGCTTTCATATACAGTATAGTGTTGACCTTTAAGATTAAGTACTAGTGTATGACTTACCCCTTGGCAATGGTAGCAAATATTGATCTGGCCACACAGCTGAGATAGGCAAGATCTCCTGAGTCTATTCTCACACCAAGAGCTCTGTACCCCAAGTCATGGAGTCCTAGAGCTACTGCAGAAAAGTTGAGAATTCCACTCCTGAGAGAAATAAGAGAAATGTGAACTATTATTACTTTTATGGGCTATTTATATGTCGATACAGGTATCAGTGGGGTATGCTATAATGAACGGTTTATATAACGAATATTCCTATAACCAACGGTTTTCCCTATAAAATTGAAAATGCTATAACGAACAAAACTCCTACAACGAACGGTATTTTTTAATATTTTTTTACTAATTTATTATTTTTTATTACAAGTATTAACAATATTCTTTATTTCAGGAGTTTAAATGCACATTTATGCACTTTTTTCCAATTTTTACAATTTTATATTATATTTTTCATTGTTAAGTGGTTGTATTTGGGGGCCTGGAACGGATTACCCCTATAAAGAACAAATGCTATAACGAACGAGGTTCTAGAACCAATTAGATTCGTTATAGCATACCCTACTATTAATATTCCTTTCTACCCTCCAAATATTCTATGAAGTGAATAAATTGAAATTAGTACCTCAAACAAAGGATGATATAGCAAAGGGGGGGGGGGCAGTGAAAGAATAGTGTAGAAAGGGAGAATGAAGATCTGAAATATCAAGAAGAAAAATATTTAAAAAATATTTTCATATTTCACAAATCATCTTCATACAGACAATGTACACAGACTGAATCCTTTACAGAATTTCCAATGATTTTTTTAAGGATTTGTTGCTGCTATAGTTGTAATACTCAAGGTATGTAAATATTTCTCCTTGGTTTCTTAATTGTTTTTTTTTTAATAACTGGTTCCTTGGAGAAATAACACCAACACTATAAATTATTATTGACTTACTTTAGGACATCATATGTATCAATAAGTGCAACAAATCCTGAAGGAAATGCAATGGCAAATGATATGAAGGCTGCCAGCTCGCCATCTGAAGCCTCAGACTGAAGGATATGCAACTTGTCTGCTAGTAGACCTCTCCATGCTAGTGACACCTCCTTCAGGTTCATCAGTGCTCCAGTCTCCTTGTGTCTCAGAGTCTGAAACTACAGTGGTCCCTCGGTTAACACACAACACAATTCGTTCCAGAAGGTCGTTCGTTAACCGAAAATTTCTTAACGGAAACCATTGTTTCAATGGGATATTGGGTAATTGGTTCCAGCTCACAGAAAAGTATATTCAAAGTAAAGCCAGAATATAATTTATACATTGCTGGAATTCTTATAAGATAGTGATTAATTTGAATATAAACAAGCTAAAATTTGCATTAGACATACAAATTTTAGATCTAATTTAAGAATTTTATTATGGAGAGCAAAAATTTTATCTCTTGTGCAAAATATATGAAGTTTATATTAAAAACATTCCCTGTCTTGCAAGGATTTCAGCAATGCAAATTATATTATCCTAACTTTAGTCCGAGATATTATATAAAATAAACACCTTAAATCATAAAGAAATCACCAATCTTTTGTCTGGGAACAGCAAGGAGGGAGGGAGCCAGCAAGCTGGGAAGAGGGGAGGAGCAAGGGGGGGGGGGAGCGGGAGGTGAGGTGACAGTGTCTGGTGCTTGTTTATTTATTTGAGATTTTTGTTTTTAGCTCATAAAATTCATAGAAATTACCCGGCTAGAATATAATTTACATTGCTGGAATTCTTATAAGATAGTGATTAATTTAAATATAAACAAGCTAAAATTTGCATTAGACAAAAATTTTAGATCTAATTTCAGAATTTTATTAGGGAGAGCAAAAATTTTATTTTTTGTGCAAAATATATGACGTTTATATTCAAATTATTCCTTGTCTTGCAAGGATTTCAGCAATGCAAATTATATTATCCTAACTTTAGTCTGAGGTATTATTTATTTTTAAACCTGTAAACCTAGTCTTTTTACCCAAACGTTTCTCAGGAAGGTGGGGGGGGTAGGGGAGGGAGGGGTGACAGTGACATGTTAAACAGTTGGTGCCTGTGGTGTGAAGTATTTAATTGTTAGTTTATTTTTTTCTTTTAGATTGCGTTTTTGTTTTTTGCTTATAAATTTAATAGAAGTGACTGGGGTGAATTTAATTTGCATTGTTGGAATTCTTATAAGATAATGATTAGTTTGAATGTAAACATAGAAGAGATCACTGAATTGGCTGAGTACCTCCTCAGCTTATCAGCTGATATTTAAAACAAAATGTGATTTTCGTAAGGATTTCGTTAATCGAATTTTTTTTCGTTAACCGAATTGAAGATTCTTAAGGAAGGTAATTCGTTAACCGAAATTTCGTTAACCGAGGCGTTCGTTAACCGAGGGACCACTGTATTCTTTTACAAAGTGCCATAAATTTATAAATGTTTTCTACAGATTACACAGAGTAACAAGAAAAGTTTGCTTCTGAAGTTGTATGGGGTATACAAAGGATGTAGGTAAGTACAGCACAATGGCTAGAAGAATGTTTGAATGGTGTAACTTTATCTAAGCTATTGATATCTGAAGGTTTAGCAAGTTCCTGATGCTCCAGTTCAAGTAATGATGGACAGGAAGTGATTCAAAAGGTGTACGAGTTTCTAGGGTGATTATTACCAGGAAATTCACAGATTTGGGACTAAGATATTGTATCTGAATACCTTAATGAGACTGATGATTGAAAATTAATTGTTGAGTTTCAGACAAGCAATGAAGAGAGTTGACAAAGAGAATTGAAGGCATATATATACCTGTATAAAACTGCAGGGATTTTGCTAGTGAAAGATATATTCGTGATTAGTAATTTCAGGAAAGGCAGAGGAATTACTGTATTTCTTAATATCAAATTTTAACAAATAAAAAATCAACAGGTACATTCACTACTTAACAATAAAGCAAATTCCCTCAATTTTCAAGCCATGAATACTTATGAAAAAATAAATAAAACTGTTGTCAAACTATACTATACCTCTATATGGAGTTCATCTAGACTTGAATATGATGAGACATAGGAGTGTGCATGTGTGCCCTTAACAGGAATGTTATACAGTTTGCCAGCTAAAACATTACTTGTCCCATCAAATCCACCTGCAGAGATGACCTTTATTAATTCCTCCACCCCTCTTTCTACATAATATGAGTTATGTTATATACTAAATTCAAGGAGGATGACACATATCAGGGAGGGAGGCACACATTAAGGAAGGAGGAACATATCAAAGAGAGAGGTACAGTCGGCCACAGGAATAAGTATACACACTGTAGCTGTAAGGTCCAAAAATGGTCTGGTAACTTTGAAACTGTGCATCCAGATGCATGATGAAACTCAGCTTCCCCCACCTGTTATCTCTAACTATTTTCTGTTTCCCCTTCTTTATTCTTCTATTTACTCCTCTTCCTTCCTTTACTAATCCAAACATCAGTAAAAAAAAAAGTAGCGTAAGAGGAAAAATGGGGGAGGAGGAGAAGGGAGCTGTATGATAACTGCAATCCTATTAGGCAACAAGTTTACCACCATTGGATACAATATATTACTTGTAATATAAACACAAGACACTAGTAAAATATTCACAATAAATGTATTTATAACATGTATGTAGAAATAAAACATAAATTACAGGTCATTTTGTAATTTTGTCTGTTCTGTTCAGTGTTACCAGATATTTTGTCTCAAACATGAACTGTAGGTGTATACTGTACTTATTCTTATGGCCGACTGTACATGTCAAGGTGGGTGGCACATGTCAAAGAGGGAGGTACATGTCAAAGTGGGTGGCACATATCAAGGTGGGTGGCACGTAGCAAGGAGGATGACACAGGCTAAATCTAAACCAATTACTTCCATATTTATCCCCTACCAATTATTTCTTATCAGCATCTTTTAACACCAGAACAACATAACTTTTCCCATATTCCATTCAGTCTTACAACAAAGAATACTCTTCCAATATACTTCCCTTCCAAGTACACAGTGGTGAGATATACCATAAGTGTGTTACCAATGAAAATGAACCTAGTTATTTAACTTACTAATGTAGGCAAACTGTATTGATATGATGTCTTGTGAATCAATGGGGTGGTTAAAAATTCACTTTATATACGGTACAGTGCATGCAAGTTGAGGGTATAAGCAAGTGCATGTGTTGTATTACTATATACTTGTTGCTTTCCTCTTTCCTGTCACTTTCTACACTTGTCTTGTGTCACTCTCCCTAATTATGTATCCCGTTTATTTGAGGTTTCTGTATCTTTTGATCCACCGAAAAAAAATGGAAGAGGTATAAAGATTAAAGAGTGACAGATCAATAAAACAAAAATAGTTAGGCCTCCTCTTACAGTATTTCTAACCACAAAAAAATAGTATACAGTACATCCATATGAAATGGAGGGAAAACTAACCAACATAAGAATATTTAGATGCAGTGAGACCCCCATCTGGTCCTTGAGCTCTTCTTAAGCCAAACTCCAGCAGCTTGATCTTACGACCAGCAGCCATTCTGTACCGTGCAGCATTTGTAGCTACCAGGCTGAAAAAGAAACAAGTCATCAAAAAGTTCAATTACAGTACTCAACAAAGATGTTTAACAGAAAGGTTCTTTGTATTAAATGAACCATTTAAATGTCAACAGGAAATAGATAATGACAAAAAAAAAAAAAGTTTACCCCATGGGTGAGACCTGAGGACTTGAAATGTGATGTAAAGAATGTAGTGATCTAAGGTCTCATTTTTTATTTGGGGAAGAGCAGAAGTATGGTTCACAATGGTCACAGTCCAGTGTTCTTTATATCTTAAATGACAAAGTGAATTCCTCACATTAAATGTTTTCTCTACAACAAATGATCACTCTTCCTCCTTCAACGTTCGATTTCAATGTAACACAATGTCTTGCATGTATTGTACAAGATTTTGTGTAGATTAGATTGTAATTAATAATGAGAGATGTCAGCATCTCTCACCACTGAATCATTGTGAGAATTTCTGGCATGGAAACTTCATTAATGCTGAGATACCCTTGTTAAAAAAACATGTATTCGTTCATTGTCACTGATGGGCACTGCATTATATCAAATTGCTAAGTAAGGAGAATTAATTGTATGAGTGAATGAATTTCTGTTTTGATGATATCTGTCATGGTATTGTAGTTGAAAAGGATTCACACTTTATACTGGAAGCCTATAAGAAAAAATATAATAATACTTTACAGTAAAAAAAAAAAAAAAAAAAAAATCATATTCAATTAGTGTCAGCAAACAATTGAATTCACCCCATGGCCATGAATGGTTTAATTCACTCAACTTAAAGCTAAATCTTTATTCTACAAATTGTACTTCTGTTGAAGTACAAAAAGATACAGCAATCAATAAGCATGAGGTTATAGATAAAAGCACCTTTGAGCCCCATGCAATAAGATGTATAAATCAGTTAGCATAATTAATCAGTTAGACTACTCTTGTAGCAAATCATACTTCTGGGGTAGGTTTGATATACTGTCAGTCATATAGGTTGGCTGTTTGGAGACACTGGTTACCACAGGGGGTGTAGGAACACATTTCCACAACATTCAGTGTATCGTAACAGCACTGCCTCTTATAGGCTGTTGGCCTTTGGAACCCATTTTCACTTTCATAACTGAATTAATGTTGTTACCAGTACAGTATTGTTTAAAGAAGAACAGAGATTACACTTACCTTGCATAATTGACTAGAGTGAGAAGCGTTGTCTCCAGAAGCTGAATGACAATCAAAGGTCCCTCTAACACCAGCAATGGAACTCTGGTCAAATAAAAGTCTTGTCTTAATTTGTGTGTAAAAAATACCAACAAACATAAGTCCTAAATCTGAACTGATTATGACAATTTTAATACGTAATGCCAAATAGGAGAGATAAAGGGCAATCTTAAACAAAATGTACATTAACTTAAAATTACACCAATACCCATATATTCATAGGTTGCCATGTTGAGTACCGATAGTTGCATATATATATATATATATATATATATATATATATATATATATATATATATATATATATATATATATATATATATATATATATATATATATATATATATATATATATATATATATATATATAGTCAACCCTCACTTTACGCGGTTAATGTAACCCGCAGGGTCCCGCGGAAAGTGAGGAACGGTAAAGTGAATAACATAACATATGGGATTAATTGAAATAGAGTCCGGGCCGACCCCCAAACTCCACTTTTTGACGACACACAACTTTGTTGTAGTAAAAATTTTATCTTAACTTTATGATGGTATGAAAAAACAAGTAATATAGAAGAGGTTAGGTTAGGAAAAATAAAGGTTAACATAGGAAAAATAAAGGTTAGGTTAGGAAAACTAAAAGTTATGTGGAACACTTACGTTAGTAAAAGAGATGGGTCGGCATACGGGGATGGAGGCTGGTTCCGAGGCAGAGGGCAGATTGCTGGCCCTCAGGTGAATCACCATTACTAGGTGAATCACCATCACTGTCACTTACAGTTGTCAGGGCTTCCCTGACAAATCCTTCAAAGTCATTTTCACTGTCACTATCACTGGCTTGGGCTGGCTGTGGTGGGTTGCAGGCGAAGAAATCTGTTATGCTTTGCTGACGGCTGGTGTTGATGTTGTCGTGATATACCTTGATGTAGGGCTCCATAGTCTGCAACAGCTGGGTAGTGAAGATTTCATACCTGTTTGCGTCAGGGTCGTCGGAAAGGAGGAGCTTGGCTTTCTCGATTCACTCGATGGCACCCCTAACATTACTATGGGATAAGTGTTGTTCTTCTTGGGATGACGCACCACCTGCCTCTTCACTGACGTCGTCATCATCATCTACCATCTCCTCGGTAGTCACATCAGGTTCCATTATCACCTCCAGGATGTCGTCGTTGGTGGTCTCGGAGAAGCCTGGAACTGTAACAGTCTGCGCAGCTTCTCTGGCAAGGTCCACTGCTACTGCAACAGTCTGAACCTCACCAGTCACAGATTGACTCCTCCTCTCACCTGGTATTCCATGCAACACATGTCTCCATGCGTGACGAATTGTAGCAATAGACAGCTGATCCCATGACTCCACCAAGAAGTCCACAGCTTTCTTGATGTTAAATACTCTCCAGAATTGTTTGAACAGTATTTTTTGCTGTGCCAACTGTTGATCCTCATCTTCTTCGCTCTTGCTATCGGTGGTGGTGTCACTCAGGTTGCGCAACTCTTCCCTGGTGTTGGTGTAGTCGTTCAGGAGTTTGAATTTTTTCGTAGAGAATGCAGCTTTTACATTACAGATTAACTCTTGGTCCATGGGCTGTAATATAGACGTAGTGGTGGGAGGAAGGAAGACCACTTTTACGTTGGGGTGACGGTCTAACAGTAGGGGCGAGTGTCCTGGTGCGTTGTCCAGCAGCAACAAAATCTTGAATGGCACATTGTCGCTCACAGAATTTCTTTACATCGGGAACAAAACAGTCATCAAACCAGGAGAGGGACAGTGTAGAGAACATCTACGCCTTACGTGCGGTCAGCCAGTGGACATTTAGCTTGGTCATGTCCATGGTTTTGTAGGCGTGCGGCTTGAGTGCTGTGTGGATCACCGATAACTTGAGCTTACTGGTACCGGAGGCATTGGTGGTAAACAGGACGGTGATGCGTTCCTTCTGCATCTTCCGGCCCCGAATCTTGCTGGCATTCTTTACAACGAACGTCCGAACTCCTTAACAGAGCGCGTGTCGACCGCCATGTTCCGTCACGCCTGACGCACCAAGTACCTCACAAGTAATTTTTCTGTCTTGAGAAGCACCTGGTTGTGAAAATGCTTGATCATAGAAGCACCTGTAGACTTTGTGATCTTCATGTGCTCCTTTATCTTGGCTGCATCCTTCTTTATTGTTCGAATCGTAGATTCATTCATACCATGCTGGCGCGCCAAATCAACCTGCCTTGTTCCTTTCTCCAACTCTTGGATGATGGTATACTTCACCTCGTAGCTTAAGGAACGTCGTGTCTTCTTTGGCTTAGTGCCGCTGGGTCCAGGTAAGGAAAGGTTTCTCTCTGGGGGTGGTGGTACGGCGGAAGCCATTTTAGAGAACAATGGATGCACGTTTACACGGTCTGGCATGGAGGGATGAAACTGGCGCGGCTAGGTCAAGGATCGTCTTTCCTCCCTCCCTCCCTCCCCCGGGTGGACACGTCATAATACTTTAAGCCAATTACAGCTAGCAGCAGAGGGGGGTAGGGATGCATGGCCAATCACAGTCCGATACGTCATATGACGTCAGTGATAACGCAACAAAGACACACACACTGCACAACCTTACCGCGCGGCTTACCCAAGCGGAGGGAGGAGGAGGGAGAGGCGAGAGCACAGGCAGGCAGGCGGGTGGGGCGAATCTAAAAATAGCGTCGCGCCGAACACTCTCTGCGTAATGGGGTTCACGCACTGCGTAATGTGAGCACGTTAGGTTCTGGCAAGGCACCGCGTTAAAGTGGAAACGCGGAATGTGGGACCGCGTAAAGTGAGGGTTGACTGTGTGTGTGTTTATATATATATATATATATATATATATATATATATATATATATATATATATATATATATATATATATATATATATATATATATATATATATATATATATATATATATATATATATATATATATATATATATATATATATATATATATATATATATATATATATATATATATATATATATATATATATATATATATATATATATATATATATATATATGCAAGTAAATCACTGTAGGTGCGCGTGATCTAGGTATATGCTGATAACCACAAGGAAAGAAAACACGAAGTTCCCAAGCGCTTTCGTGTAATTCACATCTTCAGGGGTGAGTACAGACTAGAGAGAGTAATACAAATCAAGGTGTATATATACAGAGGAGGGTGAGACCAGGTCCACAATGGTCAGGTATTAGGTAATGACCCTACTAATCTTTAAATAGCACACAACGGTTGGTGGTCAGGTCAGATGGTCAAGTGACCCGGCCTTCTCACCTGATCACAAATCTTCTTAATTACAAAATTGTCCAGCTTGTACATGCCGTTACTCAAATTCATGTTGAATGCTTCGGTATGTTTAATAAGACTAGATTCTATGATGTTCCTACTGTCAATTGACTTACATGGTAATATTGAGGAGGCATTATCCCAGTCAATGCAATGCTTGTTATCCCTCAAATGAACAAACAGAGCATTGGATTCCTGGCCTGTCCTAACACTGTATTTGTGTTGTTTAATTCTAGTTGCAAGATCTTTACCTGTCTGGCCTAAGTAAAACATATTACATTCCCTGCAAGGAACTTTATAAATGCAACCAATTGTGTTGTTGGGGGAGTTCTTGATTAACACCTTGATTTGTATTACTCTCTCTAGTCTGTACTCACCCCTGAAGATGTGAATTACACGAAAGCGCTTGGGAACTTCGTGTTTTCTTCTTTCCTTGTGGTTATCAGCATATATATATATATATATATATATATATATATATATATATATATATATATATATATACAGGGTGATTACGGCTCCTGGCTGGTGGATGTTGCCATGTTGGTCAGTTCCACAGACATATAATATCACTGCACTTCTAACTTAATACAGTAATATTTTTAGCATAAACTTAACCCGATTGTATCAAAATTATCACAAATATTCATGAAATGTACGAGAAACACAAATGAAATTAGGGAAAAAACAAAAACTTTGAAATAATAAGTGCCATTTGCTTTAGTGTTTATGATGTAAGAATGTAAAAATCAATAAATAGGACAATATATGAAAATACAATTTGGGTAAGGTATTTGTTGTTTCTAGGCCACAACACATGTATTGGGAGACTTTTGTAACTAAATTCCCTTAAATTATCATTCTATGTAATATCTTCTGAAAAATGCATCAACATCTTGTAACACTTGTGGGCAGAATATTTTCACTGCCTTTATTGTTTAATTTTTACTCTTTTCTATAAATTTATTCATATTCTAATATATGGTATTAGTACTACACTATCATCAAACTATGGACACTTCATATAATAACTACAACATTAGAAATTGTGGAAATGTTACATGCAAAAGAACACAGAAGAGGCCTGGACAATACTACAAGTGCATTCTGGCAGGTGAGAGGTTTCCTCTGATGAATTTTACCTGGGAAAGATGAAAAGGTGAAGTGCACCTGTCCCAGCATAATGAAATTTTGAGGTAAAAAGAAAATTACATACTACGTGCAAATCCGGTTCTTGCAAAGCCAGCATAAACATGGGTGACGTACAAATATCTATGGGATAAAATAAGAGATGAAAAGATGCTGTTTCTCAAGAACACTATACTGTATAGACAGTAACTAAAATAAAATATTCATCTATTACCTGGGAAAAACTACTTTGCCCTCATCAATGGCATGCATTTTCACATCCTTGGTTGTGACGTTGGACAGAAATTCAAAGAACTCAGGTTCAACAGTCTCAGGCATTGTCTCTTTCAGATACTGAATATCTGTAATGAATGAAACATAGACAACGATGAATATTTACCACATACAAGTAAAAATATAATTAAACCTCACATGAAGCAAAAGGATTACATATACCGTATTTCTTTCACTGTTACCTTGTTAAGCATTTTCCCAGTATATTACAAAGTGGCTGGAATCAAGAGCATAACACACTCTCTCTTCATTTGCTATTATTCATTCATTCTGTCTGCTACAATAGTTGTGCTCTGAGGATTAAAACCGATATAATTTGTTCTTTGACTAAACTCTGAACTCATATGATAAAAAGTAAAAAATGTGTGGAACATAAACAGGGTTGTTATGATTTAAATCAAATTATTTAAATAATGTGATTTAAATGAAAATTATTTTTAGTACAAATAATTGAAATTTGTTTTTTTTTCCTTGAGATTCTTTGTGGTGGTATAGTTACAGTGGATATTATATAACTATTTAGGATGTAATAAAGGGGTCCTCGTTTTACGCGGTGCTGATATGTCATTTCACATACTGTACATACTGTACGTTGCTAGCAAATACTGTATAGGAAGAAACATTCATTATATGTCATTTGTTTCACAAACCATATGTCGTTTGCAAAGGCAACTTTGTTTAGATTTATTTCAAGTTCCTATGGCTTTTATGTCATTGATTAATGGAGATATTGGTAGGCTGTAATCAAGTGATATAATTATCAGTTTTATGTCAAGTTATATGGATCTCTGTCTTAAACATGTATCCATACCTTTAATATTCTTTCGTTTAACCCTGAATAAGCCTTAGATGGAGAAAATATATTTTTATATACGTGTACAGCTGTACTGGTAAATAATGAACAAATTAAAACCTATTTAAATAAAAAAATAAAAAAAATATATTAGATTTTCCAACCCACAATATAAATACAGTAAGCAATATTAACTTCTCAAAAATTGGGGGGTAAGTTCAAGCAGCCAAAAGATATATTCAATTCCCCCAATGTAGAGTATTTTAAGGAAATATACATTTATTTTCAAGGTAGTAAAACATTCACATCGAGTATTAACTCTATCGAGGACGCTGTTGCACATAGATATTTTATTCTGGCTAGCACCATACAACTTTATTAATTTGAGAGAAACCCCTGCCCCTTAAAGGGCTAAAATAAAACCTACTGTCATCTGCATTCTAATATGTACACGAAAGCTTTATTCTTTCTCATGTCCCTTATACAAGTCAGAGTGCAGTTCAACCCACATGGCAGGGCAGCTGAGACAAACAGGAGCTGAACATGCATAGGTGGACCACCAATGGACTGTGCAATGTGGAAGACAAGTGAAGGGGTTGGCAGTTTCATCACAGATTGGCCAATGATGGTACTGAGAGAAAGTGTTAGCCATATGGCAGAGTGCTAGTGGTGGTGGTTTGGGAGAGTTGGTGGAGGTGGTTTGGGAATGTTGGTGGCCATGGATCGAGAGGTTGTTGGTGGTGGTGGTTGTTTGGGAGTTTTGATGAATAATGGTGGGGAAGTTTTGATGGTGGTAGGGTAGACTGTTGGTGATGGGGAGTGTGTTAGGAGTGGTGATGGGGGAATGTGGGTAATGTAACTGACCACACCCTTCCTAACCTTGTCTTACCAATGCCAGGCCACCAGCAATTAGCCTTCCCCACCCACTACACTTTCCCCAGACCTTAACCTATGTGGTGGTGTTTCATGTTGCACTGTACAGTACTGTATCATGATCAATAACCATAGTTTATGAGAAATAAAATTGATGATGATATGAGGACTTACTGTATCATGTCATAATTTTTAGCAAAGAATGGCAAGTGGGAGAAGGTAAAATCAACAAGCATTATCCGTGTCTGTGCATCCAAGTCTGGAGTTGTAAGATACAGTCAAGTGGAGTTTCCTTAAAATACTGTATGACTAAAAAATTGGAGGGGTCATCATAAATTAGCAAAACCAGTGCATAAATTAATGTCTCAAAGGTATGTGAAATGTAAATGTGAGAATCACACATTTGCAAGGGACCACTGTAACTTACCCTTTGTTTCCTCCATGACTTTACAAATTGTTTTATCTCGCCAACTAATATTAAAGAAAAAAAAGAGGGACCCTGGAACACTATTTTCTAGCTGAGCTGGGATTGGATGACTGTACAATCAGCTAATCAACAAGTAGAAAACCAGGTCCCAAGAGATCCAAAATTTGTGACTGGAATCTGAAAATAAAGTGAATTTTAAAAATCGAATATTAATTGCCTTCACACCAGATTCCAATAAGAAGAAGGTTGAGTCTTCATCAACCAGGTAAGCATGTTTGTGCTTCTTGATCATTTGCTTGATCAACACTTGTTTCCAAATAAACAAGCTACCAAAATTAGAGGAAAATTAGAGGGAACCAGGTTGCCCTATCCTGGCTTAGTTGGAAAACAGGATTTCAGGATCAATCCCTTGTTTCCAGTTGAGTGCAACTCTGTGTACCCAATCTAACTAGATTAGGGAGGGCAGGAGGCATGAATGTCCCCAAGTGCTCAACATAGCATAGCACTTTAATCAGCTAGTTACACTTACTATATCCAACTATATATATCCAACAGACTCCCAGGTACCACACAATGTATGCTGGTATATTTTTGTTGAGGGATCACCTAATAATGTATTTAATACCCAACCATAATGGGTCTTAATAAAAACTCAGTAGGTTATGAAAAATTTTGGGTCAAACTGCATGTCTGGCATAAGCAAATGGCCACCCCAGCCTTTAGTTAAAGAAGGCATCAATATAGGAAACTGTTAAGAGTTAACTTGTCTGGGGTAAAAGTTTTGAACTTGTGAAATAAACTGCTAGAGAACACTGTGACAACACCGAATGTGAATGCTTCCGAGTCTTGAAATGACTAATAATGTACTAAAAAAGTTCAAGTACGTATATTGAAGAACCAGTCCAGGCCCAGTACAGTATACCGTACTTCCCAACAGTGAACTAAGCAAATGCCTGACTGGATCGTAAGTTGACAATTGGTAAAGAGGATTAATTAACAACTTGAATAGAATGAAACTGAGGAATACTATCAGGTGGTGTAATCTTAAAAGCCTTAACAATAGCAATTTCAACGTAGAATATGATTTATGAACAAGGAATACAAATAAAAGTGAAAAGTCAATCTCATGTATTTGTGAACTGCATCCATGACACACAGAGAGGGAGACATTCATCAGTTCACAAATTTGGAAATTAAACATCTCAGGATTAAAATATAGTACAGTATTTGATTCTTGTACAGATATTAGGTTTGGTCTGTTACTAGGCTACAAGAGATATAGTCAATATGGGAGAAATTAATCACTCCTCAGAGACTTACTTCCCTGTAGAAAGAATGAAAAATATTGAAATGAACTTTAAACAATCCAGAAAAAATTATTAAATTATTCTAAGAAATATAAGACTGATTTTAGACCCTGACAGAGAATAAATAAATAAATTAATAAAATAAAATAAAGGTAATTAAAAGCTAACTACAGTACAGTATCTTTCCAGAAATGTTAACAGCAAATAACTTTCACAGGCCTAGCAAAAGTTTATTCATATGGTGCTATAATGTACAGTTAGCCAAAGATCTAGCCACCCCACCCAGAGTCTCGTACTGGCAATTTTACCTGGCAATACTTGGTAAAATAAGGCTGTATGTAAAGGTGATTGGTGGATCTATTTTCAGCTGCATTAATGTCAGGATAAATAATAAATAATCCAAAGGTAGAATTTTTATAATAATAAACTATTCATTCTTATTTAAGGTCATGAGAAGTTTCCAAATGTTCTTATACAGTATTTGATTAAATAATGAAGAAAATTTGATCTAATAATCTTGTGACAGTCCTCGTTCCTAGTTGTAGTCGAGTTGCCAATTCATTAATATAATTTCTACATTATTTAAGCAAATACTGTACAGTATACGAATTTTTGGAAACTTCTCATGATCTTAAATAAGAATGAATACCGTAGTATATTATTATAAAAATTCTATCTTTGGATAACTGTATTTATTATTTATCCTGACAGTAATGCAGCCAAAAATAGATCCACCAATCACAATCACCTTTACATACAGCCTTATTTTACCAAGAATTGCCAGGTAAAATTGCCAGTAAGAGACTCAGGATGGGGTCGCTGGATCTTTGGCTGACTGTACATTACTTTTGCTGTATGTCATTTTGGAGTTGTCATGTTAATGTATTTATTCTTGCAATGGTTCCAAGCTATTAATTGTGGACTCCCTCAGGAAGTCCTGAGACTGAGCTCTCTGTGGGCTGAGGATATGACAAGATATTTATTTATTTATTTATTTTTTTTTTTTTATCCTCTTCGCCACTGATCGGCTTGTTAGCCGCTTGGGCGATCGGTCACGTCTCTTTTCCTTTATATTCTTCACCAAAAGGTCGGCTCGCTAGCCGCCCGGGCGATCGGTCACGTCTCTGTCACGCACTGTTGGCAAATACTGGGCATGCACCGGCTCCTGAATGTACCTGAACCCGCTCCAGTGTTGGTCAAGTATTATTGCAGGTGCAGGAGCCTTTTTCAATTCTCCTGGCACATGTGAGTTACAAACATGTAGAGGATGCCTCCAGACTCTGTGGTAGGTTGTCTCAGTACAAACCTAAGAAGGTATGGGTCAAGATCTGGGGTATATGAAATGAACTACATTCTACTTTGTTTAAGAACTGTACTGAAAGAGGTTGGTAAATGGTCGTATAAGGTCAAATCAAGGTTTTACTAAAAACTGAAGGGTTTAATAAATGTGCAGCACACTACTCCCATGCAATCCTCCTCATGCTAAGAAAAAACAAACAAAAAACAAATTACTGAGCAAACCAAAGCACCTTTTCTAATCAACTGCATGAATGCATCATGTTAGAAAAAACTAAGGATCAATGAGCACACACAAGCTATTGTAAAGGACTCAACCTTCTCCCTGGGTCTCTGGGAACTTGTTTTTCACTCCCATAAACTTGATAACTACTGTATACAGTTATCCTAGATTGGCAATGGATTAGAAAAATATAGTTTTTAGGGGCGCACTGTGATGCTGTTAATGCTCAATAGGACACAAACCTGATTCAGAGTATTTGAAGTTTTCCAGAAATTTAAGACATTCCTCGAGTCCAGCGAAGATAGTGAATTCCCCGTGGAATGGATTTTTGCGGAAGAAGAGGTCAAACACCGCAGAATCTCCGTGCCTTCCCGACTTCCAGTAGGCATAGGCCATGTTTATTTGGTACATATCTGAAAGCATATATAATTGTGATAATAAACATAAATGGTTTGATCCTGAAATCCCATTTCATAACCAAGATCAGACTGAGTGGCTCATATCAGAAATTAAATCCACATTACTAAAACTCGGAGTAAACCTTTCAAATAGCAATTGAGACAGCTTAAATTCTTATGGTAGTTCATCTTCTAAGAACTACTGCCTTAAGGAAGGTGCATCTACAGGTATGGAGCTGTCATTTAGGAATGATTTAGTTCTACTGCAACATATGTAGTCCACACCACTCTAGTCTTCTCCTTGGTTAAAACATGAAAAATCATTTATAAATTGACATTTAGTGTTAGTACCCTGGCAAATTACCCTTGAGAGGAGTAGCAGTAACTGAACTACTCAGTCCAGTCAAAGTTACAAAAAGGAATTTCAGGATCAGTCCAACATTTGTAACCTTACAACTGTTCTGAGTTAAATTGTGCTGTTCAAAGCCAGCTTCATTTGGAAGAGGAAGCTAAAGGTTCAAGTGCAATGTGACACACAACTCATCAGAGAAAACATCTTGATACAATAAGAGAAAGACTAACTTTAACTATTTCCCAAAGCCACAGACAGTTTTGTATGATCTCCTTATTTGTATCTAAGTAAATATATTGGCTGATGACTAATGCACCTTTTGCAGGATGGAAGTTAAAAACAAGTTCTCAGAGTGCCAGGATTGATATGAGGCATCAAATGTTAAGTGCTCTTGCTGTGCATTCCAACTGTGTTAAAAGATAATTGTCTGATCTCTAATTGAAAGCTCATGCTTACTTATGAAACCTCCCATAATCTTAAATATACCAACTGCTTTAGCTTGGTCAAAGAGAATGGTGAGCCATCAAAAATTTTAAAATTAAAAAACAAACATAAAATATAGCTTAAATAACCAAAACAAATGCTGTGTATAAGCTTTAAAATGCTTCCAGGATTAGTCACACAACCTACAGACTCAAGTGGACAGCATTGAATAGTCATATGTGACGAGGGCCACACTTCAAAATAAGAAAGTGGACAAATTTGTTACCTACCTAATCACTAGATTAATCAATATGAAAAATAGCACTCTAAAAAATATAAATTTATATCAAATAGCTATTGAAGACATCTCTCAAATGATAAAATACTCATAATTTAGGTGTAACTAGCCTTTTATAAAAAGGCTCAAGCATTGCACAAAACGGTTCAGAGCCACATACAGCCACCAAACTGCAAGTTGAGATCACAGCTACAGAGCGATCTACAGAAATCTGATACTTACTGGGTAAAAACAATTCAAAATATCCAACTGTTATGTACGTTAAACTGAGGAAAAGGACAAACGTGTCTACTTTTGGAGCCCATAGAGAACAAGAGGAAAAAAAAGAATGAGAAGAAAGTTAAAAATAAAACTAACAGAGCTCTGAAAAGAGAGAGAGAGAGAGAGAGGAAGACTGAGGAGAGAAAGATTGACGTAAGAAAGACAGAGAAATAGAGGTGAGAAAGACTGAGGTGGGTGAGTGAAGTAAAGGAGGAAGAAATGTGAGAAATAAGACGAGGAGTGGAATATGACGAGACAGAAAGGTTGAAGTAAGAAGGAATAAATTATGAGGATAAAGTAATGCAGATTAACAAGTGAGTGAAATAAGAAGACAGAAGAGAAGTAAAGGAAGAAATAATGAGTGAAGGAAGTGAGAGCGAATGAAGTATCGGGCGAAAGTATGATCGAGGAGAAAAAGTGAAGTAAGAAAGACAGAGTGAGTGAAGGAAAAGAAAACGAGTAAATGAAATAAGTAATATTGAGGAAAATGAGGGAAGGAAGGAAGGAATATTGAGTGAATGAAATAAGGAAGATTGAGGAGAAAGAATGAGATAAGAAAGGATTTACAAGAAAGAGAGAGAGAGAGAGAGAGAGAGAGAGAGAGAGGCAGCAGGGGTGACCAGCTCGCCCATAACCTTGACTGTCAAGCCTAGTCACGCAATATACCATAACACCCTCCTGACCTATATTTATTATACAATGTCTTCACTCTTATCCATTCTTTACAAGACTATCAAAAAAATTCATAACTAGTCTGACTTTCAAATAACAATATTCATATGTTAACGCATCCACTTGATAATTCTGGGATCGATTTGACAGTTTGGTTTGTTCATGTGTATTTTCTAAAGTACGGTACATTTAACTAATTTAATTTACACTTTCGCTTTCATTGTCTTAACCTTGACCTTCCCTTGCAAAACTTTAGACATTCTATTAACCGAGAGTTGCAGCAAGAGCAAATTTCCAAGGCTGATAATTTTTATCTAACACGCGGCATAAGATAACATAATTATTCTATAAATCACATTTGATGAAGTATCTGGCTCGCTAATAAATTTTTGTTATACAATATATGCAATAAATTATTTATTTTCTACACTGTTGAGTTGCAAAGTTTAAAACTGATTTCTGAGTACAGTTTTGTTTATATAATTAGACTCGTCAATGGAATGATTAAATAACAACAAAATCAACAGGGTTCATCGACTGTGTTGAGTATAATAAAGTACAATGCGAAATCAGTCTTCAGACTGCATCATAATTTCCCCAAACCGGAATATTTTGGATGAAATTAAAATTTTGTTTCTTACGAGTTACCATCCATTCCAGAACTTATACTCAATCTACCTTATACAGATAAACTTCCCGTTATCAGCTGACCCATCTCTGAGAAAGTTATCTCTACAACTAACCGCCAGCTAAGTTTAAGAGGTTTAACGTCACGACGAGATTAGACTGTTATGAGTATGTTGCTGGAGAGGGTCACTTGTGTGTACCGATGACGCTACCTCCTTGTTCACCAAATGTTAAATAGTTACTTTAGGTTTAAGGCACATTAGTTTGGATTAGGTTAGGCCAGGTTATGGTAATCAATGATAAGTAAGGTAGGTTACGTTAAGTTGGGCCAGTCTACATTAGGTTAGAAGGGATTTCGTCTAACCGCACAGTGGCGTGCATGACTTCATAACGTGACCCGCCACCCATGCAATACTCACTCTGCTTCTTTGTGTTACGAAGGCTTCCTCAGCGTATTGTATGTACACACTAACGCATCAAGGCTATCGAACCCACTTTCGCTTTTCACCATAGTTTAGGAACAGAACCGTCAACGTTACACGATTATATAACTACTGTACTAGTTCTCTCTCTCTCTTGATCAAGGCTATCGAACCCAAGGTAGGTAGATCGAACCCACCTCACTTTCGCTTTTCACCAGTTTAGGAATGAAGATGCATAAAGAAATGTGTTTGGGTTGAATATTAACTCCGCCATCCCTTGTAGACTATACAAACTACTTAATGTTAAACAACTCCCGCATCAAGTAATGATAATCACACACCTAATTCAACAGTCATAGTTTCCGTATTTCATTATACACCAGGAATTGTTTGAAAGTAGTGCACAATTTTTTAGCATATTGTTCCGGCCACTGGACTTCTGAATTTCCGGGATAATTTTCCTGGTAAATGTGACATTTTCAAGATATACAGTTTTCTCAAACAACGTGAATTATTCATGCTAATACAGTATCTGCTTATCTAACATTAATTTATTCTTAAGCAGAGGGTAATATGGAGGTTTTCGGCGCAGTCTTACGAAGCCTGACCATGAAATAAATATATACATTGTATAATATAGTGTATATAGTCGTCGACCCAAAATAAGTGATAATCTAGTTACTTTGGTTTCTTGAGGCTAACTTTGTCACCACCACACTGTGATAACGTGCCACTGACACCGTTATAATGAGGAGCATTGGTACAATGACTCAACGTAATTAAGGAAGCGGGTGAAGCGCAAAGTCGCATCTGTCCTAACAATGACGCATTAGGATGTGACGAAACTTGGACTGGTGTTATTTGCTCCATGTAATATCTTTGTGCAAAGATGTTGTCAGCGATGACATAATTCATTGGACGGTAAGACAAAATATGGCAACTCCCACTCCCAACACCGATTTTATTCATTGTCAATAATTTACATAAACTTCATGTGCGTAAGTCACAACCATAAGCCCTGGGTTAGAGGACCAATAGGGTAATGGGGGATCGCGAACCCACTTAACTTAAGGCTACAAAAACCAACCAAATCTAACAAGACCTAAGCAAATTACCGTAGGATGGTTAGGTTTACTTAGGATAATTCAGATTTAGCATGGGCTAGTTCAGGTGGTTTGTTAAAAATGAATTAAGTCTTAATTCTGGTAAAATAAGAGATTGTGGAACTGATTTCAGATGATCCGCAGACGAAGAGAGAGACCTTAACCATGTGTGTGGCCATTATCGTATGTGATGCACCTACCCAACACGCCCACACGCACATCAATTTTGTGGCATCGACCGACGCCTTCTCACCACCACCAACCCACCTTCAGCGCCTCAACCAACACGACCTCGGGGGCATGGACGAGGACCCCACCAAACAATATACCCATTAGACAAATTGCCGCCACCAAAGCAAACAAGCACCAACAAAACAATAGACACGCTAACCAATTTCATACTACGTAAAACGCTAAATAATCCCACCACTGAAATACTGGGGTGAACAAAATCCCCCCCTCCCCCCACAAAAAAAAAATTTCTTCCCCACTCTCGTCTCCCCCGTAAACTTTCTCACTCTTAACCGAGTAATGTCCTTCAAGGTGTTATAGACGTCTAGTATATTGACCATTGACCTTCTGTAGTGTAAACTGGACAATCATAGACGTTCTATTCTCTGTTGGCAAGTGAGTTGTCTGAGAGCAGGCACCAGTTTGGTATTCCTTCTTTAGACTTTCTCAATCAATTGGCAGTTTTGGTGTATCTCGGTGACCAAACATTATTACAATATTCCATGTGAGGGGCCACTACACTTCCTGTTACAATGACATGACTGGGAGAAATCGTACAGATAACACTTGTTACACTGACAAGACTAGAACGTATAGAAAATACTTGATGCTTCACATTAGGACAG